ATTTATTTAACACGAATATTTCGTCCACACCGTTTCTGTGGACTTATCAGCGTAAGTTCATCCACAGGAGTGGGTTAAATTTCGTTTAATAAGTTTTGCAATAACGTTTTATCATAATTCAACAGGATGTAACATTCACATTTATTGAATACTTAGGCCTACATCATTTTTTTTTAAAGACATAGGCCTAGGAAATGCAATGGGCCTATATTATGATTACCTGTCTCGACATCTGAGCTTCAAATTATCAAGACCTTTTTTTCTCTTGACTTAGGCCTAGTTGATATAGATACTTAACCTGTATAGGAGTTCACTTATCACGACAAATGAATATTTTTCAAGCCTGATTGTAGAATACACCATATGAGGGCAGAATGGACACCGTTGCTATATGGACTCTTCAGAATTATTTTAATACTCGTTTGGTTTCGTTATATGAGAGTAAATGGGTTTATTCCATTTAGATTTGAATTCTCAACGAATTACAAGTGGCCTAGTGGTTAAGGCGTCTTAAAATCAAACAGGAGTTCCGAGTTCAAATCCCAGATTCACTCTCGCAGATTTCGTCATCTTTACCGTTTAAAATTCATAATTTTTTTTAAAAATATAAACACAAAATGGTATTGATGTTGTTTTCCACCGAGGATTGAGAAACTGTATTATTTTCAATTTAGTCATAATTCATATTAACAAATTAGTATATATAAAAAATCAACAGATTATTATGCCTCATGCAATTATACTTTTTCATTTATTTTTAGGTGATAGGTAATATTTTTAATTCGATTTAGGCCTATAAGGGCCATTTTTACCAAATGTCCTTTTAGCGGCCCAGTTTCACTGTGGCCATTTCCATTTTACGTGTAGGCCTACCCCACAGTTTGATATTGTTTATCTCTATTCATATACCACTGATTACGGTATATCTCTCGCTGCGTGATACTGCCTTAGTCGCAGACAGGAAGATAAGGAAAATTTAGTAACATAAGATTACATAATGGATCACAATTTAAAAGGTCACCAACCCCCAAAACATTCATTTCCACCAAGCTAGGCTTTTTGAAGGTAACTTCATTTTATTCTTGTTTTCTTTCTTCACAAAGCCCCCTCCCCCCACCACACACACACACACACACACACATCTGTTTCTATTGAGTTGTTACTGTAATTTAATAATTTTACATTTTTTTGTTTGGTAAATGTGAAAGAAATGACAGCAGCACTTTTAAGACTAACAATATAGAATTTATTCTCTAGCTTTGGTCCACAAGTGGACTTCATCAGGAGACTGTACAAGCATTTGGTAAATGTGTGCATTTTGTTGTTGATGCTTAATCTTTATATCTGATTTCAATTAGCATCTCAGTTTGTATATAAGGACCAATAACGAGTATCCTTCTATTTATGGTTGTTGTTGTTTCGTGAACGTGTTATGATTAATAATCACTGACATATAATCAGTGATAATGATTTCACATTTAATTTATTTATTTATATTTCTAATTTTAAAAGAATATGTCATATCACTAGATTTTAGTAACGAAACTATTCCTAAAATTAGTTACTAATAATATACTGTAATATTTAAACACCTTTAAAATAAATTAAAACATTAAATTGCTGATACTATAGAAATTTTGAAATTGGTGATGAACATATTTTTCATTCTAATTTTTATTTAAAATACGAAAATAAAATATTATATTAGAAAATACAATACTAACTTTATTAGCTCAAACAAACAGTATTGTAGGGTTTTCTAAATCAATATTAGGCCTACTAAATGGAAGTACCCTATATATCCATGAACTAATGAATAAGGAATGGAGCTTTATTGATACAAAAGTAAATAGCATAATGTGGGAATTAGTGACGAAACTATAATTAGGCCTAATAAAATATTGTAGTCCTATTTAGGCCTAGTATTTAATGGACAAAATGTGATGCCTAGTCGACGTGATGTATTTTAATATACCTCTAGGCCTAAATTGCATTTTTGTTTAACGACAATTAAAAGTCTGAAAAGTCAATAGGAATAATATAGTTTGCATCCTGTACTGATACATAAAACTTTAGGTCGGAATTATCAGGCAAACATCTGTCAAACGTGATTTAATCTGATCAAATTCAATTAGGGGAGCGCACGAGCATAAATCATTTTTTTTAAATTTTTTTGCACTCTTTTATATTTCGTTAAATTAGTGAAAAAGATTGTTCGAATATAATGAATCTCCCACCAAAACATAGCAACAACAATATCAGCAGTCAAAAACCACACAGGCTGGGACAGGGGCATCTGGGCCCGACAACCAATCGCGGTTCGCGTAATATCTTCATTAGCGATAACATTGATCCCGCAACAAAAAGTTTAAGTAAGGTTCTCTGTGATTGGCTAGTGTGAATAAAAGCGGAGAAGTCATGGACATCGGCGAATCAGAGGGGTGAACGGTATATAGTCAGACTGTGTGATATCCGTATTCTCAGTTGTAAACCTATAAACTAACTTGGGCTAGTGAACTAATCCATGACCGCTTGTTTCTGTGCTAAGTACGTCTCTGATCCGGATCCGCTTGTTATACGCATATATACGTAAGCCCTGTGTCTAACGGTGTAAGGATAAGACATAATTTCCTAATCCACGTAAGTTGATATTTTAAGTTTAAACCTTTTTAATTCTACATCACCATGCATTTCAAAGTAAGTAAACAATAACCTTATACAAACTCGTACCTGACCAAACCTTTAATTCTAACTAATGGTTAGGAGTACGGTAGCTTTTGGAAACTGATTTTGTCCAGGAATTATTACTATAAATGTATGCATTTCAGTCATAATGTTATAATTTATATGCAGTTATTATTAGAGTAATTATTGCTTTTGGTGGTGTGTTTTTCTACAAAAATGACTATTGTAACCCGCTGTGTTTTAGAATTTGTTTATCACAGGTTGTTGAATGCCTATTCCGTATTCTTTTTATTTTCAGCGTAGTTTTATGAATAATAGGTAGCATAATGCATGGTCGAATTCAAGTTCAATAATTGTTGTTAGTCAATGCGACCTTTCCTTTTCATTCTATACGCGCATTCAACACGTTTCCAAAACCTCAAAAAAAGTGCCAGTCTTAATATTTCCCGAGAGGCTAGCGTGTATTGTGGGGCATGTTACTGTATACAGACTTCACAAAAGCCTAACTACTTTTATTCTATGAATGCAAATTGGTTTCATTTGAGGGTACCACCGTGCTTGGAAATGGTTCAACCATGGAGGTATAAACTTAGGCCTACATGAACAGGTATATTTTCATATCCTGCTGCGCCTAGGAAACCCGGCCTAGCCCTACTTTTTTTAGTGATTCCGTTTCGTCTCTCTGAATAATATTATACTGTGCACAGTTTGCCAATGTATGTTAAAATACACATACTCGATTCAAGGTGCTCTATATATTTTTTTTTAAAGGATTGCTTCAATACTCAATACGGGACTACATCAGAAAGGCATATATTTGTAGGCATAATGAAAGCCGTACTATAACCTACTTGGCCTAATTAATTAGAAATAACATGAAATAGTACGATGCTGTACCGATTGAGTAAATTTTGTAATTATGAATAAGATATGGCTTGTATACGTACTTCCTGAATAATGCATAAGTATAACCATTGTTAGCTAATACATTTGGTTTTCAAAATTTGAACAGTTTCTCAGAATGTAATTAATAACGAGCATGAATATAACGTACGACGAAAATTGACCAGAATATGGTACAATATAATCTTTTTATATCGTTAAAAATCAACGCATTCATACATGACATAGTAATGTATATAACAATACTAGGTATATCATTAAAACACGTGTTATATGTACATTTATTTAATTATAGTTATATATCGTACACAGAGATAGTATATAATATTGCCTTAAAATTATGGTGTACATATAAATATATAGGCCTATATAAAACAGCAGTAGTCAAATGAACATGATGTGTTTATGCAGCAAACCTAATTTGAATACTATAGGCATATATATACATTATATATATATATATATATATATATATATATATATATACATATATAAAATGTATATCAAATGAAACTCTGGAAC